TGCAATTGTTCTGAGTCGAATCGATGTTGTAACGGAAGCTCTCATTACAAGACAAACAGACTTCGCAGGAAGGCCCCATACATTTGCTGGTAAAAAGGTCATTCACCATAATCTTGAGCTCCACACACATACTTCAAACCAGACTAAATATCTTTATTGGGCTTATAACATCGAGCTTTGACATTGAGTTAAACTGTATATCTTAATATTTTGAGTGTTAAGTAGATTACATTCGCGCATTAACCAAATATGGCAAATTGATGAAAGTCTGTCTTTAAGTCCGAATTACTAATCGTTGTTAAGATATCTTCATGACAGTTGTTTCCTTGCTTTCATTGGTTGGAAGACTACTCTCTCTCTCTCTCTCTCTCTCTCTCTCTCTCTCTCTCTCTCTCTCTCTCTCTCTCTCTGTATACACACACACACACACACACACACACACACACACATGTATACTGTTGTCGAGCATGAGTGTTCGCGTATTTCTTCAATTCCTTATATATCCATAGCATATACACTCACCGAGGGAGGAAAAGACATAGCGCAAGCATCGTACGGCCCAAGATGGAAGCTGCACAGGAAAATAGCATCTAAAGCGCTCAGGTAAATTTGAAGTTTTTATGCAAACGCCACATGTGTCCTACCTGACAATTGGGATATATTTCAACAAAGAGTAAATTAAGATTTACAAAAAACTACTTATTGTAAAGTTACGCAACATCTAATAAGTAGAATAAAGAACCAATGCACATTTTCTTGTAAATTACATTTTCTCAAATATCTTTAAAACTGATGTTAATGTGGATAGTGCAAATGTACCATCATTCTGAGACACATCATGGTTTTCGATGGAACTTGTATCCCTTAATGGGAGAAGGGTAAATCCCTTCACACCATTATTCTTATCCATTATATATATGTTTCATGGTAGGTTTAAAAATATAATTTGATTTATATCTAAGGCACTATCTCATGGGCGATAGCCTCAGCCGGAAAGTATCCCAGTCACTCAAAATCACTACAAAGTTGATGAGAAAGGAACAAGGAGCCTTTGATCCTTTCCCCTACCTGTCACTGGCGATCTCCAACATGATGACAGGAATGTTGTTCAATAAAATCAGGTAATTTTGCCTTTGCCATTTTTTTTGGTTAAAGATATAACTTGTTTTCGTTTGTTAAAGATATATATGGTTTTCTTAGAGTCTCTGAATTTTTGGATGGAAGATACTATTTTCTTCTGAATGAACATATTTTTTTACAATCTGAGAAGGCTTACATCGACACCTCACATAGTCTATTCTTCATATGTTACTCAAAGACAAATTGTTTTCTGATAGAGGAAAACGGATAATAACTAGTTTTACCAATGCATTCATATGTCTGTGCATGTGTTTTACTGAAATATTTTTCTGTGTTTCCCATATTATTTCATTAGTACATTTAAATTATTGATTTTCTTCTACTTTAATTCATTGATCTGTTTGACAGAAAAATATATGACAGAAATACGTAACGCTGCAACTCTAAAACCGCTTAAAGTTAAACTAAACTCATCATTATTTTTGGTTAATTTTAGCGAAGATTTAGACTCCGAATACTATAAAGCGTACGTCCTCACCCTGGACGAGTTCATGGAAGAAGCTGGAGACGGCTTTTTGGAAGATTCTATCCCCCTGCTTCGTCTGTACCCAACGCCAAGATTCAGACGTGTTGCTCGACTCACCAATAAAATATCAGGTGGCATCAGGGAAGAAATTGCTGCCCACAGAAAAACGTTCAGCAAAGGTGAGGTCTTCGTAGAAGGAGTGAGTGAATGTGGTTTTACGCCGCTTTTAGCAATATTTCAGCAATTCACGGCGGGGGACACCAGAAATGGGCTTCACACATTGCACTCATGTGGGGAATCAAACCCGGGTCTTCGGCGTGAAGAGCGAATGCTTTACCCACCAGGCTACCCCACGGCCCTTCTTCTTAAACTATAAGTTCCAAAATGGTATAATTTATTTCTTCCAAGGTTAATAGAATTAACAAATATAAAGTATAGTTTGTGACTCTTGATACAATTACTGAATTGCACAAACATAACACTTCTTTTCCATATTTATTAGTATCTTACCATAAACAATCGGAAATATCTCTTCCCGTTTTGTTCGTATTTCAGTTTGAATATCAACAAAGTAACACCCAAAAGTTGTTGACAGATTCAAATATATATGATAATCAGCACTAAGGTTTTTGTTGATGCATTTGATAATATATGAGTGTGATGAGCCAACTTCAAGAATAGAACGCCAGTGTGAAAGAATACCGAGTCTTGATTTTCCACAGGAACACAAGAACAGCAATGAAAAGCTATCAAGACCTGTAAAACTAACTGTTACTACCTTTAAACACCTTAGTATATTGTGGTTCCTGACTGAATAGAAAGATTTTCCACAGCAACTTAATGAGATAATCGTGACTTCCTTGGAGAGTACAATTACTCAAAAAGAGTCAGGTCACAGACTGATCAATTGTTGAAACCATTACAGGTGAGATACGGGACTTCACAGATGCGTTGATACAGGCTCAACAAGAAGCGGAGGAAAGGGACGATCCTGTCCTCATGTCGCAGATTACACACACTCATATGGTCATGACAATCTTTGACTTACTTTCTGGTGAGTCATTTAGTTTATGCAAGACGTTTCAGTTATGTTTGCAACAACGACGACATTACACAGCAGTAAATATACTCATGGAAACGAATAAAGGAACACCTGAAAGTACAAGTGTTCCTTTATTCTTTTCCAGAATTTCACCCACAGTGCAATACAAAGCTTCTGAAAAAACCTGGAAAAGAATAAAGGAACACTTGTACTTTCAGGTGTTCCTTTATTCGTTTCGATGAGTATATAATGATAACCAACCAAGGTAACTTGCAACTGGTTCACAAATCAGTGCTAATTACGGCAAGGACGTTACATGGTAGTACACAGTAGAGTGGATGTACACAAATCCATGATGGTGTAAAATAACATAGCAGTTGTCATATGAATTAAGTCAGTGATAACAAAGGTGTAGGTTGGATTACCAGAGCGAGAACAACATATCTTCATACAAGCTCTGGTCTCGGTGTAATGTGAGAAAACTATGGGATAAGCTTGCCCTGTTATATAGTGTAAATAGCTTCCAAAATAGCTCCCCTATGTTGGATACATCTATGATATATTACACTGCAATGGTACAACGAAAACGATCATGCCATGATGAAAGTATAGAGATCATGGTCTCGAGTTGGTGTTCTTGAACTCCTCTTGAAAAGCATAGTTATCAAGAAGTTAGTACTTAATTAAGACCTCTCTAGGATTTCTGCCAGATGGGAACCCGTGAAGGTCCGGGTTAGAATATTGATCTTCAGTAACCCATGCTTGTCGTAAGAGGCGACTAACGGGATCGGGTGGTCAGGCTCGCTGACTTGGTTGACATATGTCATTGGTTCCCAATTGCGCAGATCGATGCTCATGTTGTTGATCACTGGATTGTCTGGTCCAGACTCGATTATTAACAGACCGCCGCCATATAGCTGGAATATTGCTGAGTGTGGCGTAAAACTAAACTCACTCACTCACTCCTAGATGGGAATGACATCCATTAGGTGTTGACATCGCAACATAAGCAAGCTTTCGCTGATGACAGAAGAGCATGAAAATCGTACTTGGTAGTCTTTCACTACAGGCATGTTGCATCGAGATTATTCAAGTTGTCATTGCTTGTATTGAATCACGTTCTTGACAACCATGCGTTACACACACTACTCAATGTTACTTCACGCCTGAGACTCCCTGTGAATTATTACAGTATAAGGCATATATGTTATCTAATATTTCAGCTGGTACAGACACCTCGAGGAACACACTCCACTGGTGTCTCCTGGCGATGGCTCTCCACCCTGACATTCAGAAGAAGGTTCAGGAAGAGGTGGACTCTGTTATTGGTGCGTTGTAAGAAATGCTGCTACACTGTTTAAAGACCTCCATCCGATTCCGGTGCCCACCTTTACGTACGAGAGTTTTGAGCATGACGCAGAAGAAACTTTACCTTTGGACAATGGACATACTTGAAGAAAGTGATCAAATACTGGCCGGTTTAACTTGAAACGCCATCTGATGGCCATACCAAGCCAACGAAAAGCGCCATCATGTATATTATGTCTCTGATGATATACCAGCGCTAGAGAGAATGAAACACAGGCTGACCATTTGGTTATCTTTTCCTTTCTCGAATCAGAAAATGTTGAAGATGTGCATACATCATACATATACGGTTCTGGTGTGCTTCTTCGAATTGAATGCGCTTGTATTTTCTTTGAGATCCTAAGTGTAAATTTCTAAAAGTGGCTAAAAACTCACAGTCTCTTAGGAAATAGGATGCATTGTGTTGCATTATGATGCACTGTGGGTAATACATATGACCTGGTCCATATGGTTGCAGATCCCGATCTGAATGTCCACGTTTCGGACAGGGAGAACTTGCCATACACCGATTCAGTGGTGCATGAAGTCTTGAGGATGAGGCCAGTTGTTCCTATAGGGGCTCCTCACTCAACCCTTTGTGATACCACAGTTGGTAGGTATTGCAGTGTAATTCATATATACCTTATTACAGGTAAAAAGACACGTATGGAAGATTTCAAGATCTTTCATATGAATGATGTTATGTACATTTGAGCAAATCTATTATGTGTTTTACACCTTCCATGTTCATATCTGCTCGTGGGTTGTTTATAGATGTTTGCTATTTTATGTGTATCTCAAGCAACCACGAAATCATGGAGGATGGTTCTGTGGTGGTGGTGGTGATGATGATGATGATGATGATGATGATGATGATGATGATGATGATGATGATGATGATGATGTACTTTTTCATATTACTGTTTAGGTAAATGAAGACGTTTGTCATCACAGCATCAGACATGCTGGTAGAGAGATGGTAAGATTGTGATGTGTCATTTTCAGGTGGCTACGATGTTCCTAAGGGAACAATGGTGATAATCAACCACGACGCTTTGCACTTTGACCCTGACCAATGGGAGGACGTCAACATGTTCAAACCTGAACGATTCCTTGACTCAGATGGCAAGATGGGTCCCAAGCCAGAAAGCTGGCTTCCATTCTCTGCCGGAAGGAGAGTCTGTCTTGGTGAGACTGTCGCCAAACCCGAGATTCATCTCTTTCTTGCTGGAATCATGAGGGTATTTACCATGTCACTCGCTCCTGGGACGCAGAACGACTTTGAGCCTCAGAGTAAGGTGTTTGTCAATTGTCCACAGAGGTACGAGCTTGTTATGGAATGGAGAGTTTAAGTTAGTTGAGGTAAGTTTAAGTTGAAATGTGCTTGACGGCAAAATACTGTGGAATCTAATGCCCAGCTGACTGATGTCCGAGATGTTTACAATTTCACTGAGCAAATGAGGGTATGGTGATGACGAACTCATGAATCATTATGAAGGCAATTCAGTTCAATACAATTGTCAAAAGTAACAAATTGAAACACTAATGAAGAGACTCCCAATACTTGTATAGTTGCCTCTCAACCTTACTTTGTACATAACTTGCTTCATAAGGGTGTGAGAACTCACTCTGAAATGTGGCTCCTTCTTGTAATAAAGGCGTTCTTCATCCATTGTAATAAAGTAGTTGTTCATCGTATGTTTAGTCAGAAATGTCTTGGTGTCAATGTATTTGCGTTGTGAAGCTAAAATTGCTGTGTAGACTAACGGCAAGTACTTCTTGTTTTCAAACTCCGATGAAATCACATGACCAACATAACCTGACTCGATAAAACGACCTGAAAACAAACAATCACTTGATAATGTTGAATTGCGATTTCTGTGTAGAAGTACACAATGCAGAAAAGGGTATCACAGGCTTCACCTGTAAGAACTGTTCGCACGTTTACCTCAGATCGAATCGTTGGCATCACGTGAGGTGACAACGTGCAATGGCGTCACCAGACGAAGAATTTTTAATATCCCTTGCCAGTGACAGACATAATCTGAAGAGCACCAACTTTGGATGTGTTTGCTGGGGTTTAGGAGATGGTTGAGATTGCTTTCACCAACAAAACAGTATGTTACATCTGTTACTTACTGTGTCGACAACGTTGATACGTTTCGGTATATCATCGGTCATTTGATCCCATGCCACACCAGTTAATCTTTGTAGTTGGGACGATCAGAACTGGATTCACTGGAACACTCGAAAGACTGGTTATAAAACTAAGAGCTAATGTATGTTACCATGTGAATCCAATATAGCGATAAAAGACGTCAAATGAACAAGACTTACACACAAAAAACATTGCTTGTGCTATGGAATAAATGGACTTGGATGGGATGAATGAGGACTAAGAAGAAGTTAGAAATAAAATGCATGATCTTGACGACAAAGGACACATAACTGAATTCCTTCCACCTGTACTGGAAAAGGTAAAGGAACAAGGGCAAGTACACTTGTGTCTAAAGTTCATTCCAGTATAAATCCAGTGACGTGATGAGTCCGTGTGTTAGCCCCGCCACACAACGCAACAACCAGGCTTTATATATCTCTTACACAGTTCTCGAGCATTCTAGCAAAACTAGGCAGCATCATTATGCACTCAGAACACTAGGCGATCTTCTCGAACATACGACCGGAAGTCAAAACTAATTAAAGCCAGCCAAGGGAGGCAACTTTCAAGTGCTTTCTCAAAAGGCATGCCGCTAAAAATACTATTGCCATTGAACATATATAATGCAAGATGTGAGCCGCAACCCACACTCAAAACTTTAAACATTGTGACCCATAATAGTTATCACTTAATCCATATGGTATTACAAATTACAAATTACAAAAGAGACACACTCTCATAATATTGGGAACAAACTTTTGATCAAAAGGAGGACCTATGTTAAGCTGAATATGGAGGTCGTGACAAAGAGACCAGTTTGAGTTTACCTGATAAAAATACGTACTTAGAAATCTAATTGCGGACATCCGTTCAGAAGTGATCTTGTGGAAAATATCTCATGTAATCAATTAGACGCATCAATTTCACATTTCTATTGATTTGTACGCGACCTTTGAGATGGTGTTACAGGAAATGCTTGTGTCATTGAAAAGTTTGTAAGATTTCACCTAAACACCTGATGTACGAATTCAAGGGTTGTGTTTAACATGGTCATTGCATAAAGACCGCCAGAAGAAGTATCAACCATGACTACGTCAGACGATATATCATGATGATTCGTGGTATCTCCTATTTTTACATAGTATTGTAAACCCGAGTCAACGTGGCTTTTAAGAAAAATTAACGGATAAATGTTCAGCCGTTGGACAAAGAGGACAAACTTGAAGAATGTATGGTGATCATGTACATGCGAAAGAAGGATATAACAGCCAAAGCCATGCATGAAGATAGCCAGGCAACACAATTTGCCGCCACAACACAAACACCACTATGATGGGTTGAAACAACGCTGTTTCAAGGCCCCGTGTCAAACGGGTGCACACACTCAGATACCTGGATGTTAACTCAGGGAACAAAATTCCTCAAAATTCGTTAAATATAGGTATGTCTGATACTCTTAACTGATAGGTATATAAAATGAAACTTTCAGGAATTATTCATAACTACTGATATTTAAGGGTTAACATTTTTCAGGGTTCATTGGAAATCCAGATTTGGCCTTGTCTCAGTGAATCTTTTTGTAAACATTTCATCACTGGATCTAATACATATGTATGTATGTATGTATGTATGTATGTATGTATGTATGTATGTATGTATGTATGTATGTATGTATGTATGTATGTATGTATGTATGTATGTATGTATGTATGTATGTATGTATGTATGTATGTATGTATGTATGTATGTATGTATGTATGTATGTATGTGTGTGTGTGTGTGTGTGTGTGTGTCTGTATGTGTGTAAGTATGTGTGTGTGTATGTATGTGTGTGTGTGTCTGTATGTGTGTGTGTGTATGTATGTATGAATGACACATGTCATCGTATCTCAATTGCGTAGAACGATGCTCATGATGTTGATCACTGGATTGTCTGGTCCAGACTCGATTATTTACAGACCGCCGCCATATAGCTGGAATGTTGCTGAGTGCGGCGTAAAACTAAAATCACTCACTCACTGAACTGTCAGACACAATTATCAAAATTAAAATGTCCTCTTCTGTACAAGTGTGAAATGTTCCCGTGTACTGGCATTTCTGGATGTACTGGAAGGCTCGAAGATATCATTCTACCACGCCCTTCCTTCAAAGGTCTCAGCCTGCCTCATCTGGCTTAAACCGAAGCAGTGTTGCAGGCTCTAACTGCAAGGACCGGAAATAGTTATGAAGATAGGATACGTGATATGTTCAACTCAGTGACTACCGGGAAAGTATTCAGATACTTAAACAGGATACATTCGGAGTTGTATTTCAATCTACAATTTTGGTTTTTTCATACAATATCATACACGTGATAAAGCATATATAACATTTATATATCATAAACATTTTCCCATTCAGAAAATACATATAACAGTTAAACAGCAATGTCAGTTGGCTGTCCAACTGTCTGTATATATGTATGTGTTTCTATAGTAATTCAAAATAACATTACGCTTATTCATTTAGAGGTTGTACACGATAATACATATTCCAACTTTTAGGACATGTGTTCTATTTTGTGTTTCTCATTGCATAACCGACTGGGTATCTTCCCATAAGACAGACCTCCCAAAAGACAGACCGCATAAACACTGTTAAAACAACACATTTTATGGTTGGTTGCATAAGGCTTAATTAAGCTGTACCCTTGATAATAATGGTATGCGCCCAGATAAAAAAGACAACATTAGGTATTAACTATAGTGTTATTAATTCATGTAATGAATTATGATTTCTAAAATAAGACATATTGCATTAACATATATATATGTACATCAACATATATTTGCCAAATCACATTTATGTTACTATACTTGGTAGTGACTCTCGGTCAGCTCATTAATTAAATAGGGGTGGACAGCGTGGCTGAGCTAATTTGTGTACGCATTGAGTCTGTCTTATGGGAGGTCTGTCTTTTGGGAGTGAACCCCCGACTGTAATTTGACAGCCTACCCAAAAATAAAACAAGTTGTTTCGTTATTTTCGCCGAAAAGACATAGGTGAAGGGTGATGGAGCACAATTGAAACTCCACAAGAAGGCTTAGCACTGGGTATTAACATTCATTTTTGTTACATATCATTTATTAATGCATTATCATATATCAAAGAGCACATAAACTTTCTAATGACTTAGGTATCTATCTTGGTGACAGTATAGTATGACCAGAAATTATTGAGAATTTTAGGAATATGTTTAATTGGATTTCTAGCAAACAACCTTGACCAGCTATCAAGTGCTTGGTTTCATTCAAGAGAGACAACTCCGTTAATCCTTTTCATTAGTTTGTGAAGAGTTATCTCCTTTTGTTTACTTTCTAGCAGACGGCATTTTCATTGATCCTCAGTATGGATGATTTAGAGAAGAAGAAGTTGATTTGAGAGTATTATAACAAGGACATCAGATCAGCTAAAGTCATTTCAAGCAGAACAGGCATCCCTTTATCTACTGTTTATCGTGTTTTTAAAATATTGCAAATGGATATGGCATTGAGCACCAGGGAGGCGCAGGTAGGCCCAGAAAATTGACTGTCGGTGACAGGAGGCGGCTTGGTATTCTTGTTTCTAAAAACAAACGAATGAGTTTAGAAAACTTAAGGCTGGATATGATTGATAGAGGAACTGTGGCTGTCTGTAAGGAGACATTTAGAACTGAGCTGCATGCAATGGGTTGGCAAAAAGTCGAGGAATTCCATCACCGATCATGAAACCGGAAGAAAAGGAGCGAAGGTTGAACTGGTGGTTACAGCATAGAAATTTTAACTGGGACAATGTGATTTTCTCAGATGAAAGTTCTGTGTGGCTGTTTCCTAATAATATGAACAGTGAGCGGTACACAGATATTCTCGAGGGACATTTACTTCCATCTGCTCAGGTGTTCTATGGAAATGTTTGGCTTTTCCAGCAGGACAGAGACCCAAAACATCGTTCAAAGCATTCACAGGCCTGGTTTCGGACCCAAAATATGACATTATTAGATTGGCCAAGCTATAGCTCTGACCTAAATCCAATAGAAAATGTTTGGGGACTTATGAAGGAAAGTGTCAATAAGAAAAATCTGACAAATATTACTGAAATGAAAGAATAGGTGGTCCGATATTGGGACAGCATGGACCACGACTTTCTAACTTCTTTGATCAGTAGTATGCCCCGCCGCATTGAAGCCTGCATTGCTGCCCATGGTGACTTGACAAAATACTAACTGTTCACCTGTCTTTGAATCTGGAGTTATGTTCTGCTAATATTCACATTTAATACGTGAGGGGGGCGGTGGGATAGCCTAATGGTTAAAGCGTTGGCTCGTCACGCCGAAGACCCGGGTTCGAATCCCCACATGGGCACAATGTGTGAAGCCCATTTCTGGTGTCCCCCGCCGTGATGTTGCTGGAATATTGCTAAAAGCGGCGTAAAACCAAACTCGGTCGGTTTAATACGTGAGTAATGAGTGAAAAAATTATAAATTTAAAAATCTTTAAATTCTCAATAATTTCTGGTTGTACTGTAACATTTGATGCAATCCGTTTTGAATGTTCCCTTGTGCTATGGATTCGAAATCTGCAATTTTTTCTGTATTCATCTTCATACTTCCCTAATACTAAAGAAAACAAACCATGCCCTTTTTGAAAAAAGACAAGTAATTTCTTCTTTTGCAGATGCAGCTTTCCCATAGGCAGGCAAACAAAAGCACAATCAAAGTTGCAGATGCTTTTGCAATTCTATCAGATGTAGATATAAACAGGCCTATATTATATAAATATGTCCTTAATTCTAAACCAACCGACCTGACATGGTGGCTACGTGAATCACATAAACTGATTACAATGTTTTCTGACAATCATCTTTTTGAACAAGTAGGAAAGTTCAATTACAGGAGTATATTAAACGACAGAAACTAATAATAATATATAGAAACATGGTTGCATCGTGTGACCAGACAGTGTCATCATCATGTGCCAGTGAGTGGTTAAGTTGTAATTGATGGAATGGCTGTAATTGTCAACACGAAGTACGAGGTGCGCTGGGAGCAATGCCACGTACAACCGACAACAACATAACTACCAGCAGGTGCACGCCATTAAGTACAACAGCACTAAGGCACTGTCATTCACTTGTTTATTCAGAGCGATGAGTTACTTCCGTAAATGACCAAAGGAAGTCAGCCTCGCTGACTTGGTTGACACATGTCATCGTATCCCAGTTGCGTAGATCGATGCTCATGGTGTCGATGACTGTACTGTCTGGTCTAGACTCGTATATATTTACAGACCGCCGCCATATAGCTGGAAGATCGCGTTAATCAACAAATATAAACACCGTATTTACAGTTTTTCTTCAATGCCACACCATTCCGGTAGACTTTGAAAGGAAAAGAGATGTTGAGCAAATCAACTCTATTCTCGGAAGTATGTATGTAAGTCACTAACCTATATGTGAGCGTAGATACACAGTTAATTTATATAATCAAACCACACACGCAAACACACGCAGACAGACAGACAGACAGAAAGAGAGAGAGGGAGGGAGAGAGACAAACAACTATACAGACAAACACGCAACTAAACGCACGCACGCACACACGCACAATGACCGTGCCACTCCAGCCATGAAGTTGTTCGGGGCTGGTGCCTTTCAGATTGCGTTTGTCGCTGGCAAGACAAATGGGCAATCCTTCAAAAGTTAATTTCCACACTGTCTGTTGATCTTATTGCTTGGTTATTAGCAATCCATAGCATATCCACGACCGCTTTTGGTCTTCCTCTGCAACTCTCATCTGGTGATGCCATTCCGCGTCATGCCATCTCACCTGATGCCGTCGATTGGATAAGAGGTAAATTTCCTAGCTGTTCTCACGGGCGACGCCTGTGGTAGCTTATCCACATAGTGTCCTTCTACACAGCAGTTGCAATTCAAACTGCATTTTCCGGCAGTGTCGGTGGGGTCCCGGGCTCGATTCCCCACATGGGTACAATGTGTGAAGCAAATTTCCATACTCATTCATACACGCACCCATTTTCTGTCCCATTGATCACTTGATTGCCTGGTTTGTCTGGTGTGACGTCGTGTTGGTTGTGTGATTTCAACTGAGCAGATGGTTTGGTGGAGCCTAACGGTGATCTGTTCCAATTATATAATGTGGCTCCGCCACACTTCGGAGAACGCGGGTGGGGGGTGGGCGAACTGGCTAAAGCGCCAGGCTAGTGATCCAGCGAGCTTGAGGTGACGGGATCGAGTCCACCTGTGACTGGGTGTAAAAACCTTGGAGTCAACTTTGTGTGCAGACTCCTTCACTGTTGTCACAACCTCTAGTGTACAGTACACAACCCTGTGCACTTAAAAGAACCCATGAATCCGTTGGTATATGACCAGATGGTGGCCACATGAATACGTGCAAACACCCAATTGCGGGTACAGCAACGTGCAGTAAACTTGGACAAAGTACTGTGACTATGTGTCCCAGTCCACCCAGCTGTGAATGGGTACCTCGTAAGGATGGGAATGCCACAATAACTCGGTGCGCCTAGTGGCTGCAAGAGTTGTATGCTCCCCAGGGAGTTAAGATTGACAATACGATGTGCCGTTGAGATTGACATCCAGTGAACGAGGGAAAAACAAAGCGCCTTTGAGCAGCTGAGCTGAGCTGGATATCGGCGCTATACAAATGTTAGTACGTATGTATGTAGAACGAAGATTCATTACACAAGATAACGTCAGTTGACACAAGGACACTTCAGACTAAAGATAGGATATGTGGATGAAAAAATTCTTTATTACAATCAGTAGCGACATTAAGGTGTAACCGTCATCAAGCAAGTGATATGGTTAAGAGGCATCTATAAGCACGGAGAATTGTCTTTTTCCGGATACTGAAACCGAGCGGAAACCTACATTACCCAGTATCCAGTAGGTTTCCTCAAGAATGGAAACCAAGTTATTTTTGCTGTGGATGGTTTATTTTTATATAATTGGAACAGATCACCGTTAGGCTCCACCACACTTCGGAGCACGAAGATTCATAACACAAGATCACTTCAGACTAAAGATAAGGTATATGGATGAACAAATTCTTTATTACAATCAGTAATGACGTTTAGGTGTAACCGTCATCAAGCAAGTGAAATGGTTAAGAGGCATCTATACAAGCATGGATAATTATTTTTACAATTGTTTGGCTTGCTGCTACAATAGATTTGAGAAAGCTGTTAAGATATAACGTCAGTGCTAAAGAATACCCAGTCTTAGCTATCCCCAGTAAGATATTCTGTTTGTTGTAAGGGCAAAATAGCCGTGAAGTCATCCCTCTTGTCATGAGAGTCTTTGTCACGTTTTACACACAGAAGTAGATATGAAACACAGGTGTCATTTATTGCAAGGTTAGCGTTCAGTTTGTCACTTTTGACCATTGTATTTACTGAAGATCAGACTTAAGATTTATGTAATGATTAAAATACATGAAAAATATAAACTGACCAAAGATAAACATCAATGAAGTGTTGGTTGTGCTAGCTAAAGAATGAATCCAATGATATAATTGTTCGTATAGTATATCTATGGAACACAAATCACTACCTTAAATTCTCGATTTCATGACAATTTTATATCTCCCAGGAGCATTAACAGCCCCCGTACTCTGTGGCTCAAAGTCGTGCTGTGTCCCAGGGGCGAGTGATATGGTAAATACCCTCATGATCCCAGCAAGAAAGAGGTGAATCTCGGGTTTTGCAACAGTCTCACCAAGACAGACTCTCCTTCCGGCAGAGAACGGAAGCCAGCTATCTGGCTTGGGGCCCATCTTGCCATCTGAGTCTAGGAATCGCTCAGGTTTGAACGTATTGACGTCCTCCCATTGGTCAGGGTCAAAGTGCAAAGCGTCGTGGTTTATCATCACCATTGTTCCCTTAGGAAGATCATATCCACCTGAAATGTATCAATATCTTAACAATTGGATTCATCTAGTAACATTTCTGATTATCTGATGATGACATCTTGAATGACAATGACTTGTTCGTAAAAAAAATGAATATTAAATCGCAGTTATTTTTCATCATCATCGTCGTCGTCATCAAAACACATACTGAAGCATCATGTTCGGCATTCATAGTGAGGTGAATTATTTACCCTTTACGGAAGAGCACATATTCAAAAAATAAATATAATATGTTTACTAAAATGTGACACAACATTTAGTACTAAAAGAAACCGAACTCATGCACTTCAACACAACATCGTTTACATTTATCTCCTCTTCCAATAACAAACGTCACAGACATAAGGAAATTACTTTTCTTCGACGCTTGTCTTTCTTTTAATCAACCGTATGATGTCTATTGCCATCATTGTTATTATATGCATAATCATCCCAACAGGCATGCTGCCATGACTACCAGAGACAACAACTCGACAACATGCACGTGTAATGTCCACGTGACAAGACCACTGTTTCAGGAAACCTAGACTTCATCAAAGACTATTATCCTTACTCCATACGTTTGTGGAACGTACTGTAATACCTACCAACTGTGGTATCGCACAGGGTGGAGTGAGGAACGCCAGTGGGAACGACTGTCCTCAACCTCATGACCTCATGTATCACTGCATCGGTGTATGGCAAGTTCTCCCTGTCCGAAACGTGCACGTTCAGATCAGGACCTGCAACCACAGCACATATCACTGTCAGGGAGCCATGGACAATGTCATACGTCTTACCCACATTGCAAGAAGGTTTTCCCAGCTTTACTAAGGCATCTACGACTTAACGTCAAGCATTCTATGTTCACAGAAACCGTGAGGGAGATGGGTTTTATTTGCAATATTCCGTTCTAAAATGATACTTCCCCAAAGTAAGTGTAAACATATTCATCTAAAAGAATTTCAATGGGACCACATGTGTATGATGTAAGGACATACAGGATAATGGTATCTTCTGAATCAAGAAGGGAAAAGAAGATCAGATGTCAGCCCGTTTTATCCATTCTTTGTGGGTGATGTTCAGATCAAGCTTAGATGATGAAATGCTTTCATGGGTGTACCTACCAATACACTAGCAGCTTCCTTTATAAACACCCCTCGCAATTTAGAGAAAACTGTTGAACACATCTTACAGTATGTGTTAACTGCTGCAAAGTACCATTCAATATACCACATCATTACTATTCTACCTCTTTACTTTTAATGTCCAAACCTCACATTTTATATTCGCGTCCAAGACACACTTGCAGTTTCTTTAATGCTACATATTTTCAAAGTCAGCTTTGTAAGCGTTTGTATTTTGTGTTGGCTTGGTATCCCCATCAGTTTGTGTTTGCAGTTTCTGCAAGTACTTGTACGTATAAATGCCATTAAAGATCGCGACCCCAAAATAGCAGCTAGGTATAATCCATTCTTCACACAAGCTAATGAAAGGATATCAATGCTGTCTATAGGTTATTTGTTTTAAATATTGCAACTGCCTTTCTTACAACGCACCAAGAACGGAGTCCACCTCCTGGTGCACCTTCTTCTGAATGTCAGGGTGGAGGGCCATTGTCAGGAGACTCCAGTGGAGCGTGTTCCTTGAGGTTTCTGTACCAGCTGAAATGTTACACAACATGTATGTTTTATACCATGAACTCAGAGAGAAGCGATAAGGGTCCTGTGAAATAACGGTGAGAGTTGTGATTCACTCATTGGTTTCAAGAAGGTGATTCAAGACAAGCAATGTCAACATAATGAACAATCTTAATGCAACTCTAGTTTGCTCCTGTTAGGTATCTGGACCTGATGGGTGTCATCCCCATCTGTCACAAGGAGACATCGTAGTGATGCGTCAGAGGTGGCTGTTTCAGCTGTTAAGAATAAACTTCTTGATAACTATGCTTCTCAAGAGGAGTCAGTTCAGACAACAACACGTGACGAGCTGTGATTCAAATTCTTTTGAGTGGTGTATTGTATAACACTAACCGTTCTCAGTCAGTAATAATTGTCCCCGGATTACTATCATAATATTTATTGTTGTGTCACAGAAATATTACCGAATAATGTATCTTTGTGATGAAACGTGTGAAACGTCTTGCATGAAACTAGATGACTCACCGAAAACTAAGTCAAAGATTGTCATGGCCATATGTGTGTTTGTAATCTGTGACATGAGGACAGGATCGTCCCCTTCCTCCGCTTCTTGCTGAGCCTGTATCAACGCATCTGTGAAGTCCCGTATCTCATCTGTAATGGTTTCAGCAATCAATCAGTCTGTAACCCTGTCTGTAGTCGTAATTGAACTGCCCTAGGAAACTATCATGCTTCACGCAAACTAACCTAGGATTACCGTTTTGAAGTTGCTGTTATATTCGTGAAGGACCTTGATAAGCACAGTACACTTTAGGTGTCTAAGGGCAGTTACAGTGTGTTTTACAGTAAGTCTTAATGGTTTTCTTGAATGAGCGCAAGTTATCGTTGATGATTAACTGCCTTCTTGAAAATGACTCATCAAGTTTCATTTATTATGAAGGGTATCAACTAAAATGTAGTATTTTAGAATCGGCTTTATTTAAGTTTTGCTGCTCTGTTTCATTATTTAAATTGAAACACTAGGAAAACGATCTTTTTCCTTTCATAAAACAATTGCTCAATATGATTCAGGCAAGATACAAAGATATACTGATCCAAAAAGGAAACTTGGAGAAATGAATTATATTGAAAATTGGGTAGTGCAAGGTAGTCAACACGGGAGAATACCATAATGGCCAGGAAAAACCTGACGCATCCACCTATTGCAGCTGTGGTGACTTCGAACGGTGGTGATAAGGAAAAACATGTTAACAATCCTAAAGAGATACTTAAAACAATTCTCATGCCACGCCTACAAATGTTGAACGTGAACGTACAAATTGCATGCTCCAGGCTCTCCTGTGTACTACTGCTGTTGCACGTGTCGTGAGATGCAGGAGACGGACAATTCACAACCCGAGGACACGTGTGCTTCGAACGTTACGACATCTGATCGGCTCAGGTCAGAACAATGCCGAGAACAATCAAATTCGGCATATGCGTAATTGTTTTGCGTAATTGTTCGACCACAACCTCAACCAGTAACGCACTATTTTGGGGTCGCGTAACTGCGGACCATTCAAAACCCATATTCGTGGTCGACGTCCTCATGTTTCACAGATTCTGACACATGGTAAACCGTAATTAACGTCTATGCTGGACACAGTTGTACCTGCACAATTTACTGCAAAATGCGAGTATTGACGTCATGGAGTGGCCATCGGGATCATCTGACCTCAGTCCCACGTATGGTATTCTCTTGGAAGATGTTTTCGTGCCTTGAGACGTCAACAACAGAATGTTCAAGAACTGGGGCCAATGGGATAAAAGTTACACAGGTGAAGTTTCTTTTTAAGTATATATTGACAAGTGTTACCTTTTCAGCTTTTGGTCACAAACCTAATTCGGCATATACGTCTAGTTTATTCCTGTTTTCAATAGTAGACAACAAATTACAGTAACTTTAACTCTTAGATGATGCTTACCTTTGTTGAACGTTTTTCTGTGGGCTGCAATTTCTTTCTTGATGGAATCTAATAGTTTATCGGTGACTCGAGTAACACGTCTGAATCTAGGCGTTGGGCACAGACGAAGCGGGGGAATTGAATCTTCCAGAAATCCTTCTCCAGCTTCTTTCATTAAATCGTCCAGGGTGACGACGTACGCTTTATAGTATTCAGAGTCTACATTTTCACTAGAATTAAAGAAACATTCAGATGAGTTTGGTTTAACTCAGCTTTGACGGTTGACAGAGTAATGCGGTTCCGGTTTTACACAGTTTCCATTTGGTGAAACCCTTGATGGTTCTGACAACCAGGAAAAAGCCTTGAGTGCTAATCTGTGACTTTTATACATAATAACGCATTTCTGACACGTACATTAGAAGGTACATGGGAGACTACAACATACGCGTCAAGACGTCAAAACCCTACGGTCGTTCATACTCGTATCTCTGTACTCTGCCTCTGTTTAACATTACTGAATAAAATATCTTCAGCAGCCCATGCTTGTCGTAAGAGGCGACTAACGTGTGCTAGTGGGTAAGCTCGCAGAGTTGGTTGAAAGATGACATCGTATCCCAATTATGTCGATCGATGCTCATGATGTTGATCACTGATGTCGATCATTTACACACCGCAATCAAATAGCTGGAATTTTGCTCATTGCGGAGTTACACAACAAACGAACACACAAACAAAAGAAGAAATCAAACTTAATAAGATGAGGCTCGGTTATCAAGATCGTACACAAAAATATCTTATTGATGAAATTTGTTCCGTAAACCACACACACACAAACAAATACATATTCAATACACAAGTTATCCAGTGTTTTTGAGAAACAACTGAAGATTAGATGATTGCGTGAGGTGTCACTATCAGCCTTCTCATGTTCTCAAAACATGTTTATGCAGAAGAAAAACAATGTGTTTTAACTTAAAGTTCAGATACCTGAGACTCTAAGAACAATAATACATTCTGTGTTAAAAGATATCTATAAACAACAACCAAAATAACAAAGATATTATTACCTGATTTTATTGAACAGCATTCCTGTCATCATGTTGGAGATCGACAGTGACAGGTAGGGGAAAGGATCAAAGGCTCCTTGTTCCTTTCTCATCAACGTTGTAGTGATGTTGAGTGATTGGGACACTTTCCGGCTGAGGTTATCTCCCATTAGATAGTGCCTGATATGCATATATATGAAAATATATCAAATTGCACTTTGACTAACCTAGTATCACTCATTAACATACTTTGGGGATAATGACTCCCATTCTCTAATCAATGATTCAAGCTCCATCCAAATCCATGTAATTTCACTTTCAGTTTCAAAACATTGAGAATATTTGATTTACAAACACTTGTAAGGGGTATTAAATATTAATTGGAATTCACTGTTTGAAGAAAACTATTTTTGGCAACTAAGTATAACCCATGCCATCTTTGCATAAAAAGTGAAAATTTACCTGAGCGCTTTGGATGCAATTTTCCGGTGCAACTTCCATCTTGGGCCGTACGATGCGTTGACTATGTCTTTTCCTCCCTCGGTTAATTTAGATACTGGGGATAAATAAAGAGTGTTAAATAACCATATCCATCCATCCATCCATCCACCCACACCACCACAACCCTACACCCCTATACGCACAACCATAATTGTTTTATGAGGGGTCGTGTTCCGAGACAATGAAAGCAAGGAAACAATTGGCATGAAGAAAACTGAATAATGATCATTAATTCGGTCTTACAGAGGCACTCTCCACAATTTCAGTGCCCGTTTTGAAATGTAGTCCACTGACCACTCAAATATCTCAATATTAAAGCGTAATATTATAATCCCAATAAAACACTATATGGTCTGGTTGGAAGTATGTGTGTGGAGAAAGCAATGGAAGCAAGGAAACAATTAACATGAAGATATCTTAAAACGACTGATATTCGGACCTACAGAGAGACTTTCAGCGATTTGCCCAAATATAGAATTATAGGTTTGTTTTATAGTATGTATGTGGTGAATGACTGTCTTACCAACATATGTATCCGGCCTTCCTGCGAAGTCTGCTTGTCTTGTAATGAGAGCTTCCGTTACAACATCTATTCGACTCAGAATAACTGCTTTGAGAGTACCTGAAAATCATTATGTTCATTTCTGTTATTGTGAATACGAATATCTTCTTATCAGCGAATAGGTTGCATATAAGACCCGTGAAGATCTCGTATTTACAAGGTTGCATTTACATTGAAGGATTACAAGTTTGTAGCTTCATGATCAGGGTTGTAGGTGTATGCTTGTACTCGCATGGTTAGGTTACATGTTCGTCCTGACATGCTTGTACTTGTATGGTTGTATTTACAAGGTTGTATTTACAGTTTTGAATTACAAACTTCTGGTTGCAGGGTTGTAGGTGTATGCTTGTACTCGCATGGTTAGGTTACATGTTCGTCCTGACATGCTTGTGCTTGTATGGTTGTATTTACATGGTTGTTACAGGGATCAAATCAGATGTTGATAATATTAGGCCTGTGGTTACAGGCTTGTAGTTAAATGATAGTAGTTGCCAGATTGTAGTTACACCGTTTTAGTCAGTTTAATTTCGTTGTATGGTGGGCGTTACCGGGCTAAAGCGTTGTAGTTCCACTGATATAAATACTTTCCGACAATTAATCTCGGGCGAAAAGGGAATGAAATAGAAAAAAAAAGATATTGTCAGTGACCTAATTTAACTATCCTCGCCCAAGGTTAACTGATATGCAGCCCTATTGATAAGTCTGCCCCTTACGTTATATGATAAAACGAAGCCCCACTTCGTCATTCATCATCATTACTAATGCTTAAGTTGACATTCAGTATATTGATGATACACAGGGTGAACAATAGAGTCTACTGTGTCAAAGACTGCCGAACGACACCGAATATGAAGGAAGGAGATATTAACACTAGATTTCTCACCCTTAGTGAAGATTGCTGTGTAGCTGTTCAATGTGTAGCCGTCAAAAGTTAGTTATAGTACTGTCGTCTTTTCAATAGTGCGGAAACTGCGATAATGAAATTTGTACCCCAGAGCACGTGTTTTGCGTGTGCTCTCCAATACACTGAGGTATTATCGTCTGTTTGGATTAGAATTTTAAAACCTGACTCAGGCGGAACTTAATTTATGCTCATGTGCATATATGTATAATATTTGCACCACAGACGTGTGACGTAGTTTATAATTAAGTACATCTGAGTGAGTGAGTGAGTCTGCTTTTACGCCGCTTTCACCAAAATTACAGCAATATCACGGCGGGGGACATCACAAATGGGCTTCAGACATTGTGTCCATGTGGAGAGTCGAACCCGGGTCTTCAGCGTGACGAGTGAGCGCTTTAATCACTAGGCTAGCCACCGCCCCCACAACTTAATGTATAGAGAGATACTATGAAGTTCCTTTAGCACAGATTTTAAAGTACAATACCAATCGAGAAATAATTTATGACTAAAACCATTCATTCCATGAATATAAATATCGTTGTTGAATTCAGGGAAATGAAACATATGTTAATGTCACTCACCCAAAAGGTTTCCTATTATTGGCCATCCTTTAGGTCCTGGCGGCAAGTTGTATCGTTTCTTGGAGAGATTATAGGCGATGAGTCCAACCACTATCCCAACAACAAGAGCCTGGGTTATCACAGACTGGGGCCACCACTGTGATAAACACTCAAACATTGTCCTTGCTTAGAAGTCTCTTTAGCTGGGCTTGAATCTGAAACAATGCACATGACTTAGTCATATAAAGTTGCAGTACAAAAACAACCCGTGAAGATCCGTGTTAGCATAATTGATCTTCAGTAACCCATGCTTGTCGTAAGAGGCGATCAACGGGATTGGTTCACACACGGCATCGTATCCCAATTGCGTAGATTGATGCTCATGCTGTTGATCACTGGATTATAAGGTCCAGATTCGATTATTTACAGACCGCCGTCATATAGCTGAAATATTGCTGAGTGCGGCGTTAAACAACAACTAACCAACTCATCATCTTGCCCTTGTTCCTTTAATCTTTCCAGGACAGGAATTAAGCTGGGTGTTTTTGGTCATCTTGGTGAGACATTTCACACATACACACAAACACACAAACTCACACACTTTACAAAACCACCGATGTTTCGGTGATAGATATAAACACTCAAACATGTTTCTTCTTTAGATTGTCCTGGAACAGAAGGAAGTCACATCATCTCAGTATCATGAGACACAGCAGCCAGACATCCAGTGTATGACTCTGACTCGGAACTGACTGATACGACTGTAGGAATTGTAAACATACCAGTCTACACTTTGTGGTCAACACACCGTCTTCAGACAATAGTGTGTGCACGACAGTGTCGATCAGGGTACACTGAAACAAGGAGACCTGAACTGTGTGTCTGTGATTTATGTTATATCCGGTATCGAGCCTCCACTTTATGCCTGACCTAAAGCTGTTTATAGGAACATGTTACCAGGCTGCTGAAGTCGCTACAACAGAACGAATGGCTTGTCGAGTCACTTTGAATGTGTTCAACATACGACTAAATACCTACCTCAGTGTTGACGTACCCGTGGACAGACTGGAAAAGCGTGTGTTGGTGTGTCTTTATATAGAAGGTGAGTATTGTGAAATACCACGTCTGCTTGAGAGACGTTCTGTTTACTGACCAGATTGTTCTCGTTTAGGGGCACGTATTTTGATGACCTACTTTTGCTATAATATCCCGGGTATGTGATATTATCCACCCGGTCAAAGTAACACAAACAGGTTTATAGAGCTTCTTTGAGTTGCAAGTTGGGGAGTCACACAAGGGCAAACTTTATGGATGAACAACTTCTTTATTCAGGTGATGCGACGTTTCGATACAGATCATTGTATCGTAGTCAAGGAGGTATGTGTGCTGCTTGGTCAGGTATGGTCAGGTTGGGGTGTGAACAATGGGTTTTTTGCTTTGCTTGTAGTTAACTGCCGCTGCACTCAGCAATATTCCAGCTATATGGCGGCAATCGGTAACTGCATCTTACAATCCAGTGATTAACAGCATGAGTTTTGATCTACGGTATTGGGTTACGATGACATGTCTCAACCATGTCAACGAGCCTTATCACCTGTTCCTGTCTCTTACGACAAGCATGGGTGTCTGCAGACCGATTTTAGCCCGGATCTTGACAGGTTCGGAACAATGGTTGCGGTGGGGTATTTGTGTGTGGTTCGGACGGGGACCGAGTTTGCTGTGAGCATATGTGCTGTGATTCACACTGCAGAGTTGCGGACCTCAGACGTGGTAGTATCAACAGCATAGCCGCGCTCGCTGATTTCATCAAAATGCTGGAAGTCTACAAACATCTTTCCTCTTACAGGTAACATAACGGTCGCATTGGCATTGGTTTCAAACCCACAAAATGCAAATAGGAGTAATATGCATACATGTCAACGCCATGTTACGCCACTTTCAGTAATATTCTAGCCATGCCATGGAGGGGGACATCAGACATCGGTTTCACAAAGTGTACACATGTCAGATTTGAACCAGGATCTTTGGCATGAAGAGCGAACGCGTTTACCACAAGGTTTTCCCACCTCTCGTCAATTTTCAAGTGTTATTGCTTTTAGTATCCAAAATGTATCCAGTCGGGTACTTTTACTTTTAATCAAAAACAATTGCAGTGCTAGGGTAATTATTATGGAAACCGACCAACAAATATAAAAGACTCAGTATAATCTAACACCACGTGATGGTACACTTACAAAGACCATGATATTTGCCTGGCGAGAGAAGCCTGCGTCAATAGACTGTAGCCCTATGTTCACAATAGGTACACATATGGTGCTGGCAAAAACATGATCGTGGCCAACCCACGATATCACTTTCTGGTTAGCCCAAGAGACACAACTTTCACAGTGAATACGACGTCACCCGTGTCCTTCTTATCACCTAGCATGTTCACATATCTATCTGTATCTATCGCTCTGTATCTAACCTGAAATATCTACCTGCTCTGTAACTACACCCGTGTTTTTAATGTCATGTAACAGTGTAACCACTGCCATGTAACTCTACCCTGAAATATCTGTAACTTCTACCCTGAAATATCTACCTGTATCTATCACTCTGTAACTACACTCGTGTTACTAATGTCATGTAACAGTGTAACCACTGCCAGGTAACTTCTACCCTGAAATATCTACCTGTATCTATCTCTCTGTAACTACACCCGTGTTACTAATGTCATGTAACAGCGTAACCACTGCCATGTAACTTCTACCCTGAAATATCTACCTGTATCTATCGCTCTGTAACTACACCCGTGTTTCTAATGTCATGTAACAGTGTAACCACTGCCATGTAACTTCTACCCTGAAATATCTACCTGTATCTATCGCTCCAACTACACCCGTAACTACACCCGTGTTGTAACTTCTACCCTGAAATATCTATGTAACAGTGTAACCACTGCCATGTAACTTCTACCCTGAAATATCTACCTGTATCTATCGCTCTGTAACTACACCCGTGTTACTAATGTCATGTAACAGTGTAACCACTGCCATGTAACTTCTAACCTGAAATATCTACCTGTATCTATCTCTCTGTAACTACACCAGTGTTCCTAATGTCATGTAACAGTGTAACCACTGCCATGTAACTTCTACCCTGAAATATCTACCTGTATCTATCGCTCTGTAACTACACTCGTGTTACTAATGTCATGTAACAGTGTAACCACTGCCATGTAACTTCTACCCTGAAATATCTACCTGTATCTATCGCTCTGTAACTACACCCGTGTTACTAATGTCATGTAACAGTGTAACCACTGCCATGTAACTTCTAACCTGAAATATCTACCTGTATCTATCTCTCTGTAACTACACCCGTGTTACTAATGTCATGTAACAGTGTAACCACTGCCATGTAACTTCTACCCTGAAATATCTACCTGTATCTATCGCTCTGTAACTACACCCGTGTTTCTAATGTCATGTAACAGTGTAACCACTGCCATGTAACTTCTACCCTGAAATATCTACCTGTATCTATCGCTCTGTAACTACACTCGTGTTACTAATGTAATGTAACAGTGTAACCAATGCCATGTAACTTCTACCCTGAAATATCTACCTGTATCTATCACTCTGTAACTACACCCGTGTTACTAATGTCATGTAACAGTGTAACCACTGCCATGTAACTTCTACCCTGAAATATCTACCTGTATCTATCGCTCTGTAACTACACCGTGTTTCTAATGTCATGTAACAGTGTAACCACTGCCATGTAACTTCTACCCTGAAATATCTACCTGTATCTACCGCTCTCTGTAACTACACCCGTGTTTCTAATGTTATGTAACAGTAGTGTAACCACTGCCATGTAACTTCTACCCTGAAATATCTTCCTGTATTTGTCGTGCTGTAACTACACCCATGTTAATAATGTCATGTAACAGTGTAACCACTGCCATGTAACCTCTACCCTGAAATATCTTCCTGCATTTGTCGTGCTGTAACTACATCCATGTAAATAATGTCATGTAACTACTATTTTGTCCCTAAAACCCCATAACTAACTACACACTGTAACATTGTAACATTGTAGTGCTAGCCAGCAACAGCAACCTTGTAACAATATCCATGTAACGCCAACCTGTAACTGAGTCAAACTGTCACTCTTGAACTATGAATCCCGTGAAGATCCGGGTGAGAAATTGGTGAGAAAGAGGTGACAAACAGATAGAGTGGTCAAACTCGCTGACTTGGTTGTGTAGATCGATGGTCATCATTGGCTTGTCTGGTCAAAACTCGATTATTTACTGACCGATACCCTATAGCTGGCGAATTGCTGAGTGTGTCATTCAACAACAAGCAAACAAACTTTAGCTGAGAATCTTTAACTTCACTACCGTTATTTTATACAACTCTGTAAGTACGTGCATTTGATTACATTAGAGGTCACATGCAACCAAAAAATCAAACATAATTAAAACACAATTATCACTTATTCATGACATATAATATACATTGCTGGTTATGAAAAAACATATAAACAAAATTATAAGCGTACAATCGCAAATCAAAAGTGCAATATTGTGTACTTGGGTTTACTTCCCAAGAAACGAAGCAGCCGGGATACCGAACCCAGTCAGAGCGGGTGGGTGTGCACTCAAGTGTAACGGCTGGTTCATTTGCAGATGCCCTCACGGGTCATTGTGTGTGTATATATAGAGATGTTGGGTTTTGTAAATACATGCTCATTTTTTGTGTATAACATTTTGCAATCAACAGACATCATAACATGTCATGTGTACAAGTATCACACCTGCCTGTCTGTGTAATTACATAATGTGACAGAGACATAAATCAATGCGTTTTGTTTATGGTGTATAGCCTGATTGGTGTTAAGTTCAAATTGCATGTGGTCACTGATCGCAGTTGTGTATTGAATATTGTCATTAGCAGACAGGCAGGCGGACAGGTGTCAATAAAAGAAGACATTGAGTTTTGTCTGTGACAACGACATATCTATATAACAGTTAGAAATTCTGTCAACGCTAAATAATGACATTGCTTTTAAGTATCGAACTGAGAAAGTGACTCGGTAAGAAGAACGTGTGGTGAAATAGACAAATGAAATTATATAAACAGTTAATTTACTGTCATAACATATAAAAAGCTCGCGCCTGTGAGATAT